TATTGTGGGCAAATTTGAATTCCTTGTCTAAGAATACTGCCTAACCAATGATATGTAATGACTGAATGACTCCCGAATATTATGCTGAAAATCAAAAAAGAAGTGTTAAGGAAGCAAAGGAAACAAATTTGAGCAATGTATTTTTGGTTGTTTCTTGGTTCGGGGGCCATACCCAACAGTGCTTAGGGGCTATTTCCAGTGCAGTGCTTGGGGGTCACTCCCAGTAGTACTTGGGGAATCGTGCTGTGCTGGTCCTCCAACATAAACAGCATGTGATACAGAATTTGGAAATTCTCCACAGCTTGATTTGCATAGTTTTAAGGTGACTGAGGTTTTCGGCAATTATTTTAGGAGTGTGCCTGTCGTGATTAGGGTTTACTTCTGGCTCTGTGCTCAGGGTTCACTCCTGGCAGGGCTCAGAGAACAATACAGGGTGCCAGTGATTAACTCCGGGTTGAGTACATACGAGGTCTTACTGGATACTTTTCATCTGGCCCCTAGGACAGGGAGAGAGGGAAGGGTCAGTGGGGCACCCTGAGACAATGGGTATGGGGGAGGAATGTTATATACATGGAACCCTGATTATTAATAACATTATAAATCACGATGACTAAAATAAAAATTGAAATGATCTCCAAAGAAAGGAAGCATTTATAATGTATTGGCGTTGAGTGCATCTTAAAACTTTAGAAGTCCTCACTTCAATATTTCAGACATTCAATGATTCAAAATCTGACTTCATGAAATCCTCATGCTCATGATTTAAAATGATGCAAGTTATTAAAAAGAAAGCACTTTGGGACCAGAGATATAGTACAGTGGGTAAGGTTCTTGTTTTGCATATGGTCGACCAGGTTCAATCCCCAACATCCCATATGATCCCTTCTCTGCTAGGAGTGTATCCTTGAGTGCAGAGCCAGGAGTAAGCCCTGTGTATCGCCAGGTATGGTGCAAATCCCACCTCGCTCCTCAAAACAACAAACCAATACAGTCACCAAAGCTACTTCAAAAAACATACATATGATTTTCTCATGCAGGAAATTCTTTAGTAGGGTGCTGTGCATTCCATTAAAAAAAAAAGTCTAAATCCACAGCAAAGCCTAAAGTGCGAGAACATGACATTTTATAATCCAGCTCCTATTTGATTCTCCAGACTCAACTCACCTGGACCTACCTTCTTTCTGTCCACTTCCATGGACAAAAACCATGACAAAAACTTTCCTCTTTATAGATTTTTAGAGCTCCTGATACTCTCTTATCAACCACAACCTACATCTCACTTTCTTTTCAATACATCTACAAAAATATAACTCCTTTTAAAAACAATAATAATAGAACTCCTTTTGTGACTAAAATTATTTCCTCATTGCTCTAGTATTTTACCATAACCAACCAACTTCTCTTTCCTGACTGAAAACTACTTGGTCTGTATTTGGGTTTTTTTTTTAAGTGAAAAACAGGTTTCATTTGGGAGTTTTGAGGAAGACATGTGGGGAGTGTGGGGGGGGGGGGTGAGAGGGGAGAGAAGATTTGGCCTTTTCAAGATAATTGAGATATAGTAAAAATTTTATCTGGAAAGAGATCCCAAGAACTGCAGTAGGGAAGAAATGGTGGGAAGCAAAGGGAGAAATGATTTGCATTTTCACTTGCACTTTCTTTCTTGTAAGAATTTTCTCCATTTTTAAACTGGGGACATTTGTGGAGGGAAGTGGAGACTGGTGAAAGGATTGGTGTTGGAATACTGTATGCCTGAAACTCAATTTGTATCTTTGTAATTCACAGTATTTAAATTTTCTAAAATTCCTCCATTTTCCTTTAAAACTTTTTTATTGAATCACAGTGAGATAGACCATTACAAAGCTGTTTATGATTAGATTTCATTTATGATTAGATTTCATTTATACAGTATTCCAATACCCATCCCTCCACCAGTGTACATTTCCCAGCACCAGTGTTCCCAGGTTCCCTCCCATCACCCACCCAACCCACACCCATTGCCTGCCTCTATAGCAGGTGCACTTCTCCTCCCCTCCCCCTCCCTTTTCCCCCACCCTTCCCCACCCTCTCCTTTTTTTTCTTCCTTTTGAGCAGTGTGGTTTGCAATACTGATAATGCAATTATCAAGAATATCCCTTATCTACTTTTAACCTTCAGACCATTTCCAGCATGATCATTCCCAGATATTATTGTCATACTGGTCTCTTCTCTATCCTACCTACCCTCAGTCCAACACACACTTGTGATTAGTTCCAATCACTGACTAGTCCTCCTAACCTCTGTTTTCCCTGGTCATTGATATTAAACTTCTACTATATATTTTTATATACCATAAATGAATAGTCATTCTATATCTGTCTCTTTCTTTCTGACTCATTTCACTCAGCAAGATACTCTCCATGTCCATCCATTTATAGGCAAATTTCATGACTTCATTTTTCCTGACAGCTGCATAGTGTTCCATTGTGTAGTTGTGCCATAGTTTCTTTATACATTTGTCTGTTCTTGGGCACTCAAGTTCTTTACAGATTCTGGCTATGGTGAATAGTGCTGCAGTGAACATAGGAGTGCAGACGGTGTGTGTTTTGAGGCCCCCTGGGTATATTCCCGAAGTGGTATTACTGGGTCAGATGGGAGGCATCACCTTTCCCAATCTCAAACTATACTACAAAAAAAAGCAGCAATAATTAAAACAGCATGGTATTGGAATAAAGACAGATCCACAGACCAATGAAATAGAGTTGAATATCCTTCCACACACCCTCAAATATATGATCATCTAATCATTGATAAGGGAGCAAGAGATATGAAGTGGAACAAGAAAAGCCTCTTTAAGAAATGGTGCTAGCGGATGTGAGGGCGATCTGGCTGCGACATCTGTCACCCCACTGATCGCCAGGGTTCATTAGGCTGATCTGGCTGGCTAGGCGGGTGTCCCCTTCCTCCCTCACCACTCCATGTGCGTCCCTCCTGAAGCTGCGCGCTCGGTGGAAGAGGACGGCCTTCCCCAAACAGAGACAGATAGGTCTTCGGTGGAGGGTATACAAGTAGCTGTACTCCCCGGCTAGAACCTCCAAACAAGCTCCCAAGAAACGGTGCTAGCAAAAGTGGACAGTTATGTGCAAAAAAAAAAAAAAAAAGGGCTCACACCTTTACCTAACACTACGCACAAAAGTCAGATCAAAATGGATTAAAGACCTCAACGTCATGCCTGAATCCATAGAGAACATTGAGGAAAAGGTCGGCAAAACCATCCATGATATTGAAGCTAAAGGTATCTTCAAAGATGAAACACCACTGACCAAGCAAGTGGAAGCAAAAATAAACAAACTGGACTATTTTAAACTAAGAAGCTTCTGCACCTCAAAAGAAACAATGACCAGGTTACAAAGACAGACCATGGAATGGGAAAGGATATTCACCCAATACCCTTCTGATAAGGGGTTAATATCAAAGATCACTGGTTGAACTTTACAAGGAAAATACATTCAATCCCATAAGAAAATGGGGCAATGAATTGAATAGTAACTTTCTCAAAGAAGAAAATCGAATAGCCAAAATCGAATGAAAAAATGCTCTTCATCACTAATTCATCAGGGAGATGCAGATCAAAAGAACAATGAGATATCTCACACCACAGATTCTGGCACACATTTAAAAGAACAAATGTAACTGGTGTTGGCGTGGGTGTGGGGAAAAAGGGACTCTCCTTCACTGCTGGTGGGCATAATGACTAGTCCTGCCTTTTTTGGAAGACAATATGGAATTTCTCAAAATTCCTCCATTTTCAAGTCTAGCTTCTGATAATCTGAATACTTTGTCTCTAAGACTTTGTTTTGTTTTGGGGTCACACCCAGCTGTCCTCAGGGGTACTCCTGGCTCTGTAGTCAGAAATTACTCCTAGCAATGCTCAGAAATCATATGGGGTGCTGGGGATCAAACCACAGTTGGCTGCATGCAAAGCAAGCAACCTATTTGCTGTATATTGCTCTGACCTGACTCCCTCCAAGATGTTTTCTAAGGCCCACTCTGAAGGTCAGAAATAGAAACTTCAACTCACAGGTCTATGACACTATAAAGAAATCCTTTTTATGTGAGGTGCATTTTGGGACGTATGGTGGGTCCTTAGATATTTTCAAGAGAGAAGCTGGCCACAACAGAAAAACTAGGCCACCCTCAAGTTCCTGGGATTGGTGAGGAGCTGGATGACAGACCTCAAATGCAAAGTCAATGACTAATAAGGCTTGATAAAATTTTAATACCCAAAGTTCAAAGTATTTCCTTATTAAAACAAACAGATGTTTAGGCAAAGGGCATATGAATCCTGCATCTGCATCTCTTTGCAGGCCCTTTTCTACTTCTATACTTTATAATAAAACTTTTTACAACACTTTCACTGAGTTCTATAATTCACTGTAAAAAGTTATAAAATGGGAAGATTTGAGAATCTCCAACTACTACTCAGTTGGTAAGAAGTGTGAGTAGGGGCCAGAGTGATAGTAAATGGGGAAGGTATTTGCCTTGCATGCATTCAACCCAGTTTTGATCCCTGGCACCCCATATGGTCCCTGAAGCACTGTCAGGAGTAATTTCTGAGTGCAGAGCCAGGAGTAATCCCTGAGCATCACCAGGTGTGAACCAAAAAGCCAAAAAGTCCAAAAAAAAAAAAAAAGTGTGAGTAGTTCCCAAGACTTGGAACTGGTTGGCATATGATGTAAAGACAGTCTCATGAAAGATTAACTTGTAAAATCTGGAGGTAACTCTGGGAAGTGATGAACTGAAGTGAAATGCATTGACACAAGGTGCCACCATAATTGAAAAAGTCTAGTAGCGAGATTCAGCATAACCAAGAATAGATGTGGTAAATTAACTTGAAAGAGCAAAGTTACACAGGATTTTATGTGTCATGTAACTGCCATTCTTGTTATCAGTCATCAATGGTGTCTTTGTGATAAAAACTAACAAACTCACCCAAGAGTAAAGATTTACATGTTTATACATACCTGGTGGGCAGTTTTTCAAAGTCAACATCTAAGAACTGCTCATAGCTAGAAACAAAGTTGTCCAACCAAAGTTTCAGATAATCTGGGTCTTTCTGAAATAAGAAAACGATATTATCGATTAGAGAGAAAAAAAGTAGGCACAGAATGATAAATCTAAAGCACTGACATGAACTACATAAAATACACATTGTATATAATATATGAAAAGTGCTATTTTTAAATGTATATTATGTTTAGTTAACTTGCAGATGACTTCCCACATAATTTGCATGAAAAACAACAAGGTACTGTAAAATTGTAAACAACTCTCCCTCTACCATCTGTAAATCTTATCCTTTAGTGCCTTGTCATATATGCTCCCATCTTAAGATCGTTACAGTGGCACTTTTGTCTACCAAAATATTTCCCTCCACCCCCGGCCCCAGAGCTGAATGGCTAACTCTCTTATGTTCTTCAACTAACTCCTCATTTTCTCAAGGAAGCCAACTTTTACCATCTCCTTTTTTGTCTGTTTGGCTCTTTTTGGTTTCAGTTTTTGGACCACACCCAACGGTGCTCAGGATTTGAGCACCATGATCCTGACTCTGAGCTCAGATATCATTCCTGACAAGCTTGGTAGACCCTATGTGGTGCTTGGGATCAAACCCATGTTGACCGCATACAAGGTAAGCACCTTATCTGCTGTACTATCTCTTTGGCCCAAATCAGCTTTCCTTGAAATAGTCAATCTTTTACCTAGCCCTATTCTGTTTCTCCACCCTGTGGTGCTTTCCAACCCTTTATCATTTCCCATTAGATACAGATATAATTATATATAGATAAGATATAGACATACACAAAACACACACACACACACACACACACACACACTCTTTTATGTTCATTGAGTGCTTAGTAATATAGCCAGGATATGGAAACAACCCAAATGTCCAAGATAAGTTGTGGTGTATATACACAATGGAAAAATAATGCAGTTTCATGAAAACATGTAATCGTGTATGTTGTTGCAGCATGACTAGCACAGGAGAGTATCATGTTTAAAAGCAAAATAATTTAGAAGGAAAACAACAAATACTGGATGAGCTCAATCATCTGTGGTACAGAGAAAGAGAAAAAAACAAGGGAACAGAGAGCATCAAATAATGACAAACACTTGGTTTTTGGATTACAAACTCAGGTTATCAAGGGGTAGCAGAAATAATGAGGAGTCCTAGAAGTGACATGGGGACAGTGGTGAAGGATCTTAGTCACTGACAGTGGTGGGGGTGCAGTAACTTTGATATCAATAGCATAAATTTTAACACTATTGTAACAGTGTTAGATAAATGTTAATCATAGTTTAAAAACAAAACAAAGGAAGAGGGACCAGAGATAGCAGAGAGGTTAAAGCACTTCCCAAGCACAGAGCCAATCCCCAGCACCACATATGGTCCCCTGAGCGCTGCAAGGAGTGACCCAATGGGCACAGGAGTGAGCTTTAAGCAGAGTCAGGTGTGGCCCAAAAGTCAAAAGCAAACAAAAAAGAAACAAATGCCTCAGATGATAAACTAGGCAAGATGGGAATAATTTATAGATCATTCCACCTCAAAACACCAGAACATCCTTTTTTTTAAAACCTCAAGGAACATTCTCAAGGACAGGTGTGATACACCACAAAACAAGTCAATAAATTTATGAAAACTGAAATATCAGGTATCAGGGCACAATGATATGAGCAAGGAAATCAAAGGGAAATTAAAAAGAAAGAAAGAAATTTGTGGTAACACAGACCTATGTTTAACTATGATTAACATTTCAGGAGACAAGAAGAACCATCAATGAAAAAACCTGAACCAAAGTATTACAAATACAGAAAAACAGATAATTAATAAATAGAAGAAAACAATAAAAGCTGGATGAAATGAATATCTGATTTAATTTCAGATCCAAAAGACAATCTAAAATGTAAACAAAACCAGCAGATGGCTCAAGAAAGAATTAATAAACTAGATAAAACCCTAGTCAAACTCCAAAAGAAAAAACAAACTAAATTAATGAAAGAGATGATATAACAGATACTACAGAAATATAAACAATCCTAAGAGTATTTCTAACAGTGTGATAGTAATTATATGGCAACAAACTGGACAACACAGAAGAAATTCTTAGAGGTTTTGTGAAACATGAAATTCTAATTCATGGAAATCAGGAACTGAACAGACCCTTCCTGACAATGAAATGAAACAGTAATCAAAAGCCTTTCCCTACTCTCCCCCTAAAAGCCAATGGCCACTAGTAAATTCTAACCAAACTTTTAAAGAAATAATAACTGGGAAGAGGAAGGGTAGCTGAAAGATAGTAAAGTGGTACTCACGGAACCCTATCACAGTACTGTACTGTGCCAAAAGTTATTGAAAAAAACAAGGGTAGGCTTCTGGCTTTGGTGAAGGCAAGTGGACACTGGTGAAGGGATTGGTACTGAAACATTGTATGCCATGAAACTCAACCATGAATAATAACTTTGTAATTCACAGAAACCAAATTTAAAAAAAAAAGTATTCTTCTCAAACTCTGTAAAACTGAAAAGGAGTTACACTGCTAAATAGTCTATGAGGCCAATATTACTAGGTCCAAAACCAGACAAGAAACTCAAGTAACTTATTTCTGTAAAATAAAAGCATTACACTACAAATCAGAAATCCTAAAAGAATGTTCCCAGAATAATCAGACTGCTGCTGACCTTTTGTGTATTTGCTTTTTCTATTAATATACTGTTCCAAATCAGATCATAAATTGCCACTTACCTACATTAGCAGACAAATAGGAAGGAAACATTTCAGAAACAAAACTTCCTGTGAATTTTTGTTTTCCTCAAGAAAGTTTTATCACTTATTTTTTCTTCATTTCTAACTAGAATATCACTCATTCATTCATTCATGATTGGATTTCAGAAATGCAAGTAGGTGGCGTTTTCCTTATCAGTGTTCCTTTTTAAGAGAGAAGATTATCTCTCTATAAAAGTGAAACACAGAATGTTCTCATAATGTCATAAAAAATTAATGCATTTCTCCTCATAATTTATTCAGGAACTCTACTGTATCTAATTCTGAGTCTAATGGTCAAAAGTCCAAGTGTTTGGCAACTATAGACCTCTCCTGGAAACTCTCCTGGGAAACTGGGCAAGCATAAGGAAAGAAATGATACTTAAATTGAAAATGTTTCATTTAGTAATTAGTTAAGCAGTTATAGATTTTAAATCTGTCATGTGCTAAGTAGTATTTTTTCTTTCTTTTTTTCCCCCTTAGGCCAGGCCTGACTGTGTTCAGAGCTTACTCCGACTCTGCACTCAGGGATCACTTGTGACAGGCTCTAGGGACCACTTGGGAAGCCACAGATCAAAGCCATTAGCAGAGCCATTAATTAGATCACATGCAAGGCAAGAGCCTTGAAGGGACTTTTGCTCATTTTATAAGTAAAAGCTCATCTCATAGGTAAAAGAAAGTAAATTCTAAGGTTTTACAACCTTTCCAAAGTCACAAATCTAGTAACCAGTAGGGTAAAAATTCAGCAATACATGAATCTGAGACAGTGCTCTTTTCACTACAATGTCTCAAAGTTGTGAGCAGGAGCAAAATGAAACTCTAATGGGCAAAACAGGATCAGCAAACCTGAGAGTTAGTATAGCAGGTTGGGTGCTTGCCTAGCACACAACTGAACCAGGTTTGATCCCCTGCACTCCATATGTTCTCCTGAGAACTGTCAGGATTAATTCCTCAGTGCAGAGCAGAAGTAACCTCTGCGCATCACTAGGTGTGCACAAAAACAAAAATGAAACTGGACCAAGTAAACTGAGAGCCATAAAAAAAATTTAAGATAAAAAATCATATTTAGAGGGTCGGAGCGAATACATTCAAGTATTGCCTTGAATGTGGCAGACCCAGTTTCAATCCCTGGGCTCCCATAATGTCTTCCAAGCACTGCTGAGAGTAATTCCCGATTGCAGAACAAGTAGCCCCTTAGTATCATCGAATGTGTCTCAAAAACTAACAAACAAAAGTCACATTTGAGGTTGGAGTGATAGCTCACCAAGCTGAGCCCATACTCTGCATGCAGGAGGCCCAGGTTTGATCCCTAGAATTGTATGGTCAACCCAAGCACAGAGCCCATAGACCCCTGAGCACTGCTGGGCATGGCACACAACCTGAGAAAATCCTTTAAAGGGTCTATATTTTACTGCCATCGACCACGAAAAAAAAACACAAACTCCAAAATAATTATTAGTAATACCTCAAACCTAATCATTTTTGTAATGAAGAGAGCTTGGTACATTTGAAACACAGCCAGGTCTATCTCCCCACTTATTAAGACAACATACAATGTATTAATACTGCAGGAGTAGGGGCCAGAGCAATTGTACAACAGGTAGGGTGTTCACTTTGCACCCAGCTAACCTGGGTTCGATCCTGGCACCCTATAGTCCCCCAGAGCCCGCCAGGAGTGACCCACGAGCACAAAGTCAGGACTAAAACCTGAGCACAGCCAGGTGTGGCCCCAAAATCATAAATCAGAAAAAATATTGCAGAAATAGAATACTTCATGGACTCTAATCTCTACTCTGCAACCTTCTTGAATCTGTCACCTGACTTTCAGGACTGTTATAAAAATTAACCTAGTAAGTATGTGTCAAAGATTTGGAAGAATGTCAGCATACAATACATGCTCAACAAAGAACACTTTTATTATTTACTATGTGCTAAACTTAGGAAACTTTCAAAACCCAAGAATGTTCTGTGCTATACATAAAGACAGATACTCAAGGCCAGGAATGTGGCTCAAATAGCAGAGTGCCAATTTTGCATGTATGCAACCATAGGTTCAAACATTTGGGTCACCTACCCCAACCACACCAGGGTATGATCCAGGTAGTCCCTTAGCAACTCCAGACCCAAGCACTGCCATCTCCACAATTAAAAATAAATATTTAGGGGCTGGAGAGATAGCACAGCGGGTAGGGCGTTTGCCTTGCACACGGCTGACCCAGGTTCGATTCCCAGCATCCCATATGGTCCCCTGAGCACCGCCAGGAGTAACTCCTGAGTGCAGAGCCAGGAGT